CAATTCTGAAATATTAGATTGGATTAGACAACAACAGGAGGACATAGATATATTATTTCCCAGATCAGCCTTCCTCAAATCCTCATACATACAGAATATCCCAAATGGCCATGCTATGAGGAAAATGGAATCATAGTTCAAATTTACCTAGAACATGTTAAGTTTGGAAAAGCTACTGAAAGGGATTCTGGGCACTTTTTAAAAGTTATATTGAACACTATGGAGACTTACTGTCCTCCACTGTAAACAAAACAAAAATACACCTATCATTACTATTTCGCTGCACATTTATTTTGCAGATAGTAAACAGTAAATTTGGAATTATTCTCATGTACAACAAAGAGTTAATATATGAAAGAGCTCAGATTTGTATCTTTTCTATGATGGTATAAGTAGCAAGGCAACTATACTTTTATGAATTGCTTATCACTTATGGTGATCTGAACTCTTGCAGCTTAAACAAATGTGGCTGGTTACAGACAACTTGGAGAACTGGCAGAATCTGGAAGACAAAAATCCCTCATACACATTTGGAGCTAGACGTTAGCTGGATTAGTCTAGTAAAATCAGCTAAGGCTATATCTAGGAGAGGTTCAAACCTGCAAATCCTAAAGAAAGGGATAAACATTTTCTGCAGCAACAACTTTGCCACATGTGGTTTAGATTCCAGCCCTGCTTGGTTGATAAAAGCTGTCAGGGAGATAACAGAAGACTGAATAAAGGTAGTGATTAGGCTATCTTTGAGAGAGGGTTCTCTTCCTGCCTTGACAAGGACAATGCCTGCCTATCCTCAAGAAGCCATTGTTTGAGAAAAGCTACTGTATTTCACCAGTTTTCAGGTTTTTGAGAAGATGATGGGCCTGCAATAGCAGCAAATGATCTGGACACTCTTCATTTGTCTTCTGTACAGAGTAAGGAAGAAGATAGGGTCCAAAGTTATTTAAAGCTCAGGACATCCAAATAATGTTCAGAAATCACTCATATAGACACCTTCCTAATTCACTGAACTATAAGAGGAGGAGATACAGCACAGACAGACTTACAAAAAATATGTTATTACAGCCAATATCAATCAAGATAATTGTAAATATATTATTTCATGAAACTGTGAATTAGTGAAGCTACTAAAGCTGACCATTTTTGAATTGTTGCAGTCTCTGTCCCTAAAGAACATCAACATCAGGGACTCCAAAGGGGAGACTTCTTCATATTGACTTCCCTCCTTCGGAATAGTCTACCCCTAGAATTAAAATGGCTCCTTGTTATTTTTCCAGTGAGCCATTATGATCTTGCTCTTCAGAAAATCTTTGCAGGATATTATAAACAGTTGAATGCCTCCAAATGCCTGATGCTGAGGTCTTTGGAGAATTAGTTGACTGTTGTTGTTGTTGTAGTCAATATGAGGAGAGAGAAAATAAAATAATAATTAAAAAAAGGAAATAGACTCTATTGACCTTTATCTTGTTGTCTGTGAACTGGGAAGATTTAGACATAGCTGTATTATAGCATTTTCTCTTAACTTCCTACCAAGATAGAAGGCATTGGTCATCAGATATTTAAAAGCCTAGATTTTTAAAATCTGTATGTGACACCTGTTGTGTCCTGAGCTTGCAAATGCAGGCTCGGGACGTTGCAATGGTCCCGGGCTTTGCAGAAGCTGCCTGGGACCAGACTGAGTGGCACCGGCTTTGCGCGCATGCGCAAGGCGCGAAAAGTGCAGGACTGTGTTGCCATTATGTCCGGGGATCTGGGCGTATAAAAGGAGGCCTGTGTGCCTTTGTTCGTTGTTGGAGTTTTGACTAAAAGCACAATAAAGAGTTGTTCTGTAGAAATGTGTCTTCATCTTTCACCATCGCTTCAAGGACTTAACATTGGTGACGAGGATGGGATCTTTCACAAGATAACTAGAAGGAAGCTGTAAGACTCACCCAAAGAAGTCCTGAAGAGGGAAAACAGCGTTAAAGTCAGCATCCATCTTGCCAGTACAGCATCGCTGGAGGGTGAGTTTGTCTGAAAGACCTTTTCCCTGAAAAGCAAGTGGTGAAGTGCAAGCTAAAGTAGCGAAGATCGGCCACTTATCAGAATTCGATGTCTCACACCCAGAAAGATGGGAATCATACATTGCGAGGGTAGAAAACTATTTCAGAGTCAACCAAATTCGAGAAGATGGGTTGAAGGCTGTCACCTTGTTGTGTGTATGCGGACAAGAGACTTTTGAGATTGCAGAAAATCTAGTGGCCCCTGCCTCGCTGGAAGGTGTAATGTACACGGATTTAAAGAAGCTTCTAAAAGAGCATTTCCAGCCCAAGTTGTCCGTCATTGCTTGGAGGCACACATTTGAACAAAGGGATCAGAAGGCAGGTGAATCTGCTAAGGACTTTATTGCGGCCTTGAGACGAGCAGCCAGACCGTGTGAGTTTAAAGATTTGGAAGAAAGGCTGCGTGATAGTTTTATATGCGGGTTAAGGAACAGAGACCTACAGCAAAAGATCTTCGCTAAGGAAGATGTCTCTTTCCAAGATGCTCTTCGAGAGGTTACAGCAGAGGAAGCAGCAGGCAGGGCAGTAAAGAACATGTGGCCCTCCAGAAGCGCTCCGAAGACCGTCGCCGTCCACCAGGAGAACGTGCGAGAAGAGTCGGAAGAAGTTCCTGAAGATGAGGTGGACAAGCTTTACCAGGCAGCTGGAAGGAGACAGAAGGAACACACAGAAAATGCTTCAACGGCCCTTCAATGCTTCAGGTGCGGAGGACGCCACAAATGAGCTGACTGCCGGTTCCAGTTCCGCCATTTGCAGGGCATGCAGTAGGAAAGGCCACATCACATCTGTCTGTTTGGGTCGTCAACCAGGTACTTGGGGCAGCAAAGCCTTGACCTACTGAGCCTGGCAGATGAGCAGGTAGGTCAGGCAACAACACCAGGGTCGCCGGAGGCAAGCGGGCAGCCATGCCCTGGCTCACCCAGCCTGGTGGGCAAGGAAAAGGAACCAGTAAACTCTCCCAGTCCGAGGAGGTCGCAAAGGGCCAAGTGCCCTCCCAAATATCTTTCAGACTTTGTGAAGTTACTGTCCAGCTACAAGGGGTACTACCCTTAAGGTTATTAGTTAATAATGTATTTTGTTTACTTATGATTTTGAGTGTCTTAGCTGACAAAACAAGGATAGGAACTTGTGGAGGCAACTTCAGACACTCTCTTCCATGCCTGACTGTCAGGAAGTTGACACTCTTCCCAAAGAATAAGAATACTGAAGTGTCAGGATTGTTCCAAGCTAGGGAGGAGGGGTGTTGTGTCCTGAGCCTGCAAATGCAGGCTCGGGACGTTGCAATGGTCCCAGGCTTTGCAGAAGCTGCCCGGGACCAGACTGAGTGGCGCCGGCTTTGCACGCATGCGCAAGGTGCGAAAAGTCAGGACTGTGTTGCCATTATGTCCGGGGATCTGGGCATATAAAAGGAGGCCTGCGTGCCTTTGCTCGTTGTTGGAGTTTTGACTAAAAGCACAATAAAGAGTTGTTCTGTAGAAATGTGTCTTCATCTTTCGCTTCAAGGACTTAACAACACGCCCCCCCCAAAAAAAAATTAAAGAAAGTGCTAGGCAAAACTAAAAGACTGCTGTATGTAATGATCTAACCACCATCTTTGTCATCTGCAAAATAGTGGGAAGTCTAAAGAATTTGCATGTAAAATACATCTTTAAATGCAAATATTGTACTATATTTTGCATTCGAATGATTAAAAGAGAGGTTTAGTTGAATTTACAAGAGCTATTTGGAATAAATATTTCAGATTCCATCGCTTGTCTTATACCTGTATTTGCCAATGACTTTGAACTCTTTCTCTGAATCCAGTTCTGACTTGAGTTAAAAACATCTTGGTATTTTCATAATCTTGTTTTGGGATCATTTTATGATATATATGTTGCACATCCCATATAGATATACAGACTGTTCTAAAGGCTCAGAAAACATATTGTTCATTATAGTTTACAGTTATATTCCAGTGTAGTTATATTTTCCATCCTCCAGTCTCTAAATAACCCTTCAAAGGATTAGTACTAATTTGCTTCTCAAATGAGAATCAGATGGAGGAAAGCTAATAAGAGAAGTGGAGCAGATTAATATTCAATTGAATCCAGAACTTTTTCATTTAGGATTGATGAATAAACGGATAGAAAAAAGCCATGGATATTTATTTCAATATATCATTACTCTACTGTGGCAAGATTATTAAATGCACAAAGATGGAAAGATTCAGCACCATCTACCATGGAGGAATGGTTGATAAAATTGACAGGACTTGCTGAGAAGACAAACTAATTTCTTCGATTAAAGAAAGGATAATATCTATATTTATTAATGGTTGCAAATTTCTTATAGATTTTTTTGTGTAATTTTTTTTTAAAAAAAATGAACTTATGATTTATGGTTTTATGCTTAGACAGGATAGATTGTAGAAAGAAGAGAGGCATGATGCAACTTTAGAAAGTTTAAAATATAATTGTACTTATAACTGCTGTGAAGAGTATCAGAAGTCACCTTTATATTTTTCTCTTTTTCCTACTTTCTTCTATACTTTTTCTTATTGCACGTTTACCTTTTTCTCTTATCCTTCTGTTCTGGTTTAGTTTGTATGATTTCTTATTATTGCTGTTGAAACTTTCAATAAAAATATTTTTTAAAAAAAAAAAAAAAGAGAGAAGAGGAGCAGAGCAATCCTTCACAACTCTCCTCTTCTTTTATGGTGACTGTCATGTTGCAGGCATGAAGGGAGGGGATGGAGAAAGGGAGTGGTGGGGGTGGAAGAGACCATATATAGCATTTGCTCAAGCCTATATTTGGCCAGAGTTTGCTCCATTTGTGAAACTGAGGAGAAACAAGACGCACAACTTCTAAGACAAGGTATATTTATTCTAACGATTGAATTTCAAAGTGCTGTTAATTACTGTAAAAATATTTTGCATGATTGCTTTAACTGGTGCTTGAGAACAATTGAACTCAGAGGAAATATTTTATGAGCAGGCTATAATAAATTGTTGAAAGCATTTTCAGGAAGCCTCAATATACATACCATAATTGACCCAGGAATTGTGAAATCCAATGAGTTTCATGTACATATTTTTCTGCTAGTTTGTATAAGACCAAAGAGATAGCATGCTTAGTTGTTGTTTTTTTTAAAGTTGCATGTTTTTTTTTTTTTAAATTAAATCCCTGAGTGTTCTGGATATTACTAGAAAATTGACAAGGTTCTTTTCTCAGCTTTTTTTTTGGTCATATATCACTGTAAGAGAATTTTTTTTGGAGTATTTTTGTGACATTAGCTTGCATCTATTTTTCTACTCTTTTGTTTCCTGTGATAGCACGATCAGTTTAATGTAGAGATGGCTTGTTTGCATTAATTTTTTTCCTCTTTGCATCCTTTATGTAGGGGAGGCATCAGTAAGATAGCTACAATGTCAGAACCAACGGCCACTGAGAATAAGAAACCTCCTGCTGGTTTGAGTGGGCGAAGAGCTGTCCCACCCAATGTTTCCAATGCAGAAGAAGATGAAGTACCGGAAGTAGAGACAATTGGTGTGACGCCAAGGACATTTAATAGACAAGGTATGACTAATCACACAATTTAGAACTAATCAGTACACCTGAGAGCTTTTTTTCACCTTCCCGTCAGTCATACTGTTGCAAAATATTGAATTTCAGACAGAATTCAAGTCTGCAACACCTGCTTTTTCTCTTAGTGATTAACAAATTGCAGAATATTGTAATAGGCTAGGAAATACATAGGACATTCCCTTGCAGTACTGTAATTAATCCTGCGTGCTTGCTACTCATAAATCCCTGTATTAGGCACTTCCATAAGGGGGTCTTTTTGGCAGTTCCAAATCATCTTCATGCCTGATCTTGTCTGCATTGTGGAACTGAGTTTATTTATTGTTGGCTTTGTTGCACTATTTGAAAAATCATAACAAAATTAGTCTTCCTTAAAATGCTGCAGTGCTTCAGGGTAATCCTTCTTACCTACTGGTGATTTGGCACCTGCTCCAGCTTCTAACGCCTTTCTTGCCCATGTAGTGTTGTTCCCTGCATTTTGAGCTTAGTGGGAGTAGACGTGACCAGAGTTTGGCTTTAAAGGATTTCTATGGAAAATGGAAACTCAGATGGTGTGGAAGGGCCCATTATTCCTTTCACCGTGCTCTTCATTTTTCTTCTCAGTGTTGAAGAGCAATGAAAGAGAAAAAGAAAAACTGTTTCCATTTGAAAGGCTCTGATCATTGTTTTCTTAAGTTCTACAAAAGAGACATACAAGAGCATTTCCTATTCTTATTATCCAGATATAGCATTAAGATCATGTTGTTATGTTACGTTGTGTTGTGTTATGTTAATCTAGAGAAAGGAAAAAAGCACTAAACAACCGTCCACACATCTCTGTTTGTATATTCTTCTTTATTTATTTAATTTCTATAGCCATCATCTCAATAAATGACTCTGGACATCACATCATAAATAACAAAAAAAGCAACAAAAAGCAATACAGAATAAATATATATATTATGGTCAGTGAGTAAAACTATCACCATAGAAGTTAATATAGTGAAGAAACAAGGCCCTTCAAACACTTGGGGTCCCATATCTAGGTAGTAACCAGGTCTTCATAGCCAAATGAAAGGCCAGCAGGGTTGAAGTCATCTCTGAATAATCTCTGAAGGGAGAATATTTCAAAGGGCAAGCCTACGGCATAGAAGGCACAGTTCCTAGTCCCTGCCAGCTGACATGCTTGGCTGGCAGGACCTGTAACATGCCTCACCTGCTGACTGAATTGAACAGGTAGAAACAGCTAGGAGAAAAATGTCCCTCCGGTAACCCATGAAGAACTTTAAAGGCAGTGCTTTTTTTTCTATGAAAAAAAGGTGCCGGAACTCACACACGTCATGCAACCCGCCTTGCCTACCCTACAAGGTTCCATCCAAAAAAGGTGCCGGAACTCTGTTCTGGGCATTCTATAAGAAAAAAAGACCCTGTTTAAAGGTAATAACCAGCACATTGAATTGCACTGGAAACAACTAGCAACCAACGCAGCTCACACAGTAGTGGTGTTGAGCACTTTCAACATACATGTGTTGAATGTCTGACACCAAAATATGATACAAAATATGTTGTACTAGCTGAAGCTTTCAAATATTTTTTAAGGGCAACTCCACGTAGAGTGTGTTGTAGTAATCCAGATGAGAAATCACAAGGACATGAGTGATTGTGATCAAAGACTCCTTCTCCTTGGGTGCAAATGGTGCATAACCAGAAAGTGTGCAAAGGTCCTCCTAGTCATGGTTGCCACCTTGTCTTCCAATAGGACCTATGAGTCCAGGAGGATTCTCAAATTATGCACTGGGTCTGTCTTGGACAGTGTCACCCCATTCCACCAAAGATGGAAGAACCTTATAATTGGAAGGCCCAAATCCCCAAAACTATTAATTTTTGTTTGGGTTGAATTGACACGCATTGTGCCTCATCCAGGCCCCTACAGCCTCTAGGCACTGGAACAGGGCAACCACAGCATTACTCTGGTGACCTAGGATGGAGATATGAAGCTGGGTATCATCAGCCTATTGACATTTCACCCAATAGCCTCCTATAGATATTAAATAGGAGAGAACTGGGCCCTGGGGCATTCCACAAAGCAGGGGCTGTGGACTGGATGTCTCTCCCCTCCTGCCAGTCAACACCAACTGGAGCTGACCCTGGAGGATGGAGAACAACCAGTGCGATACAATGCCATCCACCCCCTCATCCTGAAGCTGATTCAGAAGAATCAAGAAGGTCAAGGCTGGATACTCAACCCCTATCCTGTTCCCACCAGAGGGCTCATTGTCAGGCTGTAAAACATAGAAATCTAGATACCATAGACAGCAGAAAAACATAGCAGCAATACAAATATTTAAAATACAAAATGTAGCCATTGATATGACTAGCAAGAATTTGTTAGTAAGGATGTAAGGTAGATTACCTTTGAAAAATAGTTCCTGAGCTGCTATTAAAAAGGCAAAACAAAAAGGTCTCTCTTTTTTTGGTTCTGAAAGGTTCTTGGGATTGTTGGGACAGGACAGTAGATGCACCAGGTTCAGATAGAAAAAAACACTCTTTTAAATATTCTGACACAAACTATTCAGAACATTCAAGCTCATCACCAGCACTTTAATATCAGAAATAAAATAGAAGCTAATGTATCTGTTTTGTTATGGAATCATTTGCCTCTATCTCCTACTAGCAAATGGGCCACAGCATTCCAGGATAAGTGTGGAGGTTTTAATGCTTTTCAAAAGTAATCATGTATGGACTCAATTGCACTAATTCTGATATGATAAGGTAAGGTAACTAAGGCTAGATCAACCTTTTTCAAGAGTAACATAGTGAGTTTAACTGTCATCGAATGAGAAAATTGGAAATACGATTGAGCTAGTGTTTTATGGCATCTTCCTGCTATTTACATATTTTAAAACTTCCTGTAACTGCACATACATAGACTTACTAAAATGCACTTCGCAAAATGTATAGTATGGAGCCTACTGGCATGCATGTATGCATACAGAAACACAAACACTCACGGAAATTCTTGTGAAACTTGTGAGTAATCAGGATCTGTAGGAGCGAGGTAAAACATAGAGAGGAGGTAAAGACAGAAAATGGAGGGATAAGGTTACAAGATTAACTGATTATACTATATAGGTAATACAGGTCTGAGACCAATCCTCTATCCTCTCTCCCAATTGCCCGGAGTAGCAGATGAAATGGAAAATTAACATGGCAATAGACCTAGCAGCAGGCTATCTGGAGACATGTAGCAATATGACCTTTGTCCACTGGCCACGACAATAAAATGGAATGATAGGTAACAATTGGAAGGAATTGGACTTAAGAATTGGAGCTAAGTGATTCAGGTCAGGAACAAAGCTAAGGAGCACTTGAAAATGTAGCAAAGTCAGGAGATTGGAAAGATAAAAGTTAAGCCCAGTCTTGAAGATTCTTATGGTCCTTTTATCTAGGGGAGGTTAATGAACCAGTCTCAATGACTGGGGTCAATCCAAAGACTAAGGATATTTCCCTACCAGGAAAGTACTTCAGGCAATAATATAAATGGTAGTGACAGATTTGAGTCAGGCTTCTTGGAGATGGTTAAGAATCACATTAACAAAACTTTTCATTTAGAGCATCTCAGAAACGCTGCTTTTTTTTTGTAGCTGGCTCTTAGTTATTTCATTAGAATATCTCTCACATCACCTCATGACTCCTGTTATTTTGCATCCCCAGAAGGTTCCAACATAATTTTAGTTGTTTAGGTCTCTATATTTTTATCTTGAAAGTCCTTGATAGATTCATGCTTGTGATCACTAGTGAAAACCATTCATATTTATGCTCCTTTTAAAGTAAAGAACTTGAGATTGAAGGTATTCTACCTAAAGTTAAACAATGATATATAATAATAGACAAGGTTATATCTGAACTTTGGCTTTTCCATATAGTATCCAAAGCTAAGGTTATACAGTAAATAAACTTGCTATTCAATATATTTGTATTTAATTAACATTATTTTTAAAAAAATAGCAATCAAAGTGTGATTGCAATATTTTTAGAGGAATGGTTTCTGCTTTTTTGGGGGTTGGTCTACCTGAGAGAAAAATAGAACTCTACAGTATTTGAATTGGGAGTAATTTTTAATCGATGCCAACATACTGCAAAAAGCTCATTATTTCTTTAAAATTGCTAAAATTGCCTAAAATGGTTTTTCAGTTTTAATGTCTTGGAAGAAGAAGCCTTCAAAATGAAATGTCCATTTGCTATTTCAATAAAGGGTTGAAGAACAGAAAAAGAGCCCCCACCTCCAAACAGAATTGTCGACCCTCCAAATTGCCCCATTCAATCTGTTTTCATTTGGCTTAAGGGATGGAAAGACTGACTCTGATCAGTATTTCTCATCATTAATTTATTCTATGTTTAATACCTTCAAACTTTCCTAAATGCGCTTTGTGAATTTTCACTGTGGTTTTTGTCCACTGTATGCATGCGCATATGCATTGGCGGGCACACATATACATTCAGAGATGATTTCAAGCGTGGCTATCATGCTGGTAGAAATCCCAGGAGGAGTTCCTCACATAAATTAACAACAATCTTGTCAGGGTGGTTGTAAATTGGTTGCTGCCATATGTACAAGAGAGTGAAGTGAGCAGATGGTCCTGGTATGAAGAAGCAGTGGGGGTGTAAATATTAAGGAGAATCTGCTGCCATGGAGATGGGGCCTCTCACAGGGAGTTGGTCCATAGGGAAAGCTGTGCTGAATGCATTCTTGATCTGCTTGTTCTTTTGTCCAAGGAACCGGTTAACATGTCAAGGTCAGGTGGCTCATGGATTCCCAGGGACACAGTGCATGAGTTTTTTCTTAGAGCTGTTGACACATTGTTAGGCACCAGTGAAAACAGATTATATGCTTTTCTAGAACTTTTGCTGGTGTTCTGGGCAAATTTAGATGTTTAGGAATCGCTACCACTGAATTCAGCATTCAGTGTTGAATATTATTTCCCATTTCCCGCCTCCTCCATAAAAATATGACT